TCTATAAGGTCCCACCTCCGGACATCTCTTTCTCGGCCAATGCTATCCTCACCGCCGTCAAGAAAACGAAAGCCTCGAAAGCCTTTTGATTAGATGGCCTGACACCTACGTAAAATACAGACAAACAGCATTCTTTTCTTGTACATAACCAAGCTCTTTAATACAGTACCTATGTAATGTATATTGCCTATCCTGCGTTTGCTAATCAAGAACTAGGACTCTAATACGGTACTTATGTAATGTATAGTGCTTATCCTGCGTTTGCTAATCAAGAACTAGGACTGGTATATAATGTATAGTGCTTATCCTGCGTTTGCTTATCAAGAACTAGGACTCTCCGGTTAGTGTGCCCCGCCGCTTATTAAGACCAATTTGGTCTGGGCCCGAGGTGGGTTTAATAACCGGCGACTACTGTATAAGGAACTCGTCAGAGGCACTTCCGGAAACAACAAAAAAGTGGCTTCTTTGCGCACCCAGCTAGTATACCCTAAGAAAAGTGCTGGGTACATCAATAAGAAAGATGTCACCTACAAAAACCCACGCGAAGTTTGTGATACCCTTTATTGTGGCCAAACTGGACGATGCGTCTCCACACGCATCCACGAACACCAATTGGTCGTAAAGACACGTTGTTAGGCTATCAGCCGCACCCAGTGCTAGCGACATTTAGAGGCTTTCCAAAGGAGTCGAAACTAGCCAAATGTCTTTGTTTGTTAGCTCTGACCGCTAAAGGAGATGACTGTCCACGCAAGCTGACCTTAACCTCTGGAGAGGACACAGATGCACGCGCATTCTCTCGTCCGCCACTGGTCGCAGTTGCCCCAATGCGCCAATCACGTAATAAGCGAACGCGCACTTGAAAATTTCTTATAAGACACTGTCACCCCTGACACAGGGAGAGTTGAATAACACAGGCGGACAGCGAGGCCACGCTAGTCCGCTCCCAATGCCGGGGCTTGTACTCGAGGCGGGACAAAGAGCACGCTGGAGATTAACCAGCGGCCACAGCCACCGAGACAGCTCCTCCGGGTTTTGTACACATTAACCCTCCTCCGGGTGGATTCCAGAATTATGCCCTTCTTATTTTATTCTTCCTTGGGGATTTAAACAGGGTGTATTTTGACGGTGACACACGTCAGATGCCACCGTTACAACACTAGCGATGCAGAACCCGTCATTATAACGGCCTTGATCATGTGTCGGAAGTGGCTATGCATTGCCTTGACATACAACACATCTTTGCATGGGACAAAACACGCATTGTCAGAGTTTGCTTCTCAGCGAGGGCTGCGTATTTCTTCAGGCCATGCACTCCCAGGATTCATGCATCATTCATTTATTCATGAGTTGGATGGAGTTTACGAACATCTCAAAGAAAGATGGAAGAGATTACAGCCGATCACTACGGACCAACGTGAACCGCAATTATCGCCCACATCGGATGACACGGACTGGCCCCGGAACGACGCAAATTACAGTTGCCAGTTAACCATTACGCCATTGCAACAATTAATTTTGTCTTCCATGGAGTGATACAAATTGTGATTTCCAATTAGAGGGCACACTAGATGACTATATTTCTGGACCAACACTTTTGAAATGGTAATTTGTTCGCTGCACAGTTTCTGAAGTCTGACGACGACCTGGGGATCCATTGTCGAAAATTTACTGAGTAAAGTTTCCTCATTTTCCCTAAGAATGCCTTTCCCTGAAATGTATTAGTACTGCTTGATGTGCGATCAGACATTGTCATATTTAGGTATGCGACAAATGCGAAACACACGTAGCCTAAACGAGTTTGTTTGTACAGGTAGATTGCAGTTTTATGGGGGGAGGGGGTGTGGACTGTGATATTATGTTTGGCTATTTTATTGCATACGCATATATCTTA